TCAGATTGAACAATGAGTTCAGAAACATTCAAACTTTCAAATATAAAACTGAATAAACATGTAGTGTCAGAAAATACCAGAAGTTGACCTGCTTATGCTTTCATGTCCAAACGTGCAAGTCATCTATAATTTTCTCAGGCAGTTAAACAGATCTTTTTCTGGCCATATTACAAGACACTTTTCTCACATTGGATTGTCCGGCCCTGCACTTGCACCCAAGCTCTTTCTGCCTACCTAGGTCAAAATTGTTGGAATTGAGCAGGAACTCAGGGAGGTAGAAGAACTCTGGGATGAGCTCCTTCACGTCTGCCATGTTGTGCTTTGATGCTGAATACCAAGCCTCGCGTACGCTGTGAAACATTCGGTCAGCCAGGTCAAAGTGCCCACCCTGTGAGAAGCATGACAGCATCAGAGTATCTCTCAGCACAGTAGATTTCGTCAAGAAGGCAAATCAGAACACCCTCAGCCTAACAAAGATACTATAGAAGGTAGCATGTTTCTTCCTCTAACACAATGGATTTCATAGAATCACAGAATGGTTTGGGTTGGAAGGGACTGTAAAGATCATCTAGTTCCAACCCCCCTGCCATGAGCAGGGACACCTTCCACTAGACCAGGTTGCTCAAAGCCTCATCAAACCTGGCCTTGAACACTTCCAGGGAGGGGACATCCTCAGCTTCTCTGGGCAACCTGTTCCAGTGTCTCACCAGCTGTATTACTTTTTGGTATACAATAAACATAAAACACAGATACAGATATACAGAATTTTAAGAAGGAAGTCATCTAGTCCTCTTTCAAAGTTTAATTTCTTCCAGAGAAAAACAACTCTTTTTGCCTGATGGCCTCTGTCTAGGAAAATATTTGACATGTAATGATACAAACCCCATTAGCTATCAAACTGGTAAACAATTCCAAGCTTTGCAAACATTTGATGACTCTTTGGATAGACACATTGGTTTAAAAAAACAAACTTTCATCACCTCCAGCACAGAACTGAACTGGCATATAATTCTTTCAACAACAGTCAAATAAAGCACAATGAGCAAAGTACTTTTCACAATAAAACTTGCTTTGGTTTTTGTCTGCTAATATTTTTTTCTGCATACATTTAGAAAAATGTTCAAACTACAAGAAAAAGATGTGGATTACATTATATATTTTACAAAGAAACATCAAAAACCTGCCAGGTAATAACAACTAGGCTAAAAATATCATTCTACCATATTTGATGCAAACAAAGCCAATTGATTGTATTTTTCACTTAGGTCTCAAATGTACAGCAGGAAAGAAACACAAAATAAGGTGATGTAATTTTTACCTGTAACCGTAAGAAAATCTGAGTAAAAGGCTCCATCCGAACAAGATAGGAAGCCACTATCATGGCCGATGAATAGTGGGTCCCATAGTGATAAGCTGGAGTTTCCCCTGAAGAAGATTAAAAAATCGTAAACATAGAACAAACAGAACAGTTGGGTGACAGGATCAGTACTAACTGAAAAAAAAAAATAGTGCTGTATTTTAATGACTCTATGACACTGTAATTTTCATTCTTGAGAATCTGAAAGCTTTATGTTTTGTCACAGCTACCACTTGAGTTTTGGCTGCAGTCCAGTAGCCCTAATTCAATGGGCTTCTGCAGAGCAATACTGAATGGCCAGTAATTTTTTGTTTTAACTAATTGAAATGTTGCCATGCAGCTATAGTGATTTCTGCTGAAGAAACATTTTATTTTTTTTACTTTTAGTCTTGTTGCTTACTGTGGAAAAGCTTGGGTAGAAATATGTCTCAGAATTGTTGGCTACAGATTTTGTACAGCTTTTAGTTTCCTAAATTCCTGGCAAAAAGTCTGCATAAATACACTTATAACATATTGACTCATTTCTAGAAATGAACGTGTCCGCCACCTGGTGTTGTTTGATACAGAACAACACTGCAGTAGTTAAACCGGCTTGTGTCTTCAATAAAAGCACACAAGAAGAAATGTATTATAATAGCTGCCTTGCCAAACACACAAGTTTTATTTTCAATATATAAGGAAGCTCAAAAATCAAGAATATGTAACTTAATTGCATCTCATTCAGAGGGTTTTTTTCAGCTAAGAAAATGCTGTTTCCTTAGTAAAAAAAAAAGAAAAAGCATTAAAGTAAGAAATTAAAAAGCTAGAGTACTGCTAATGAAGAAGTATTCCCCTTCCTTTGTACAACTTATTTTCTTGCAGCAGCGCTCAAACTGCATTAGTAGAGACAGTTGGTTGTATGCTTCATGTGCCTGCCCATTCTAGCCTTTAGACAATATTAAACTGTTCTGAATCTGCAACTGGTTTTGTCTTTATTTTTACATACAACCAAAAGCTGCGATTTGGATTGAAAACAAACAATGCAACAAGGAAACCAACACCCCTTTGCTCTAATTTAGGATTTGTTGGAGAGCTACTAAAACACACGTAGAGTTCTGCATATCCACATCTTGACCCTTAGCACAAAAATTAATTACTCCCTCCCATTATGTGACAGGCAGATGTCCCTCTGCTCTTCCTGCTCCATGTATCACTACTTACCATTGGGATCTTCCCAGTCTTTGTATCGCTTCTTGTACTGGGCTAACCTGTCTTCTGTTTGAGCACCCATGGGCTTGGCCAGGTTTCTGAATGTCTTAGGATTTGTAAGATCCAGTTCCTTTAAAAACGAAACAGACACCAATTTTATTTAAAAAAACCCCCAAAACAAAAAAACAACCCAAAACCACAAACCTCAAACGAACCCTTTCAACACTGCTGATTGCCATATTTAACACCACATACCTCCTAAGGTTGTAATCTTTGTTTCTGGACACACAGCAGGTGCAACATTGGATATGCTTAGAACAATCCTTCAGTCTGATTTAAAATAAAAAACACTGGCTCCTTTAAGTCACATCTGGGCCCTGGATAATTTTTGCCCTGCTACCCTCATCCTGTTCCCCAGTTCCTACTAATTCTGTTCTTGAATACTTGACATGTACCCTAACAATATTTTGTGTTATGGTCTAGCTGGTAGCAATGGCTGCCCATAAAAGCATTAATGGGATGTTTCATGATTTTCAAAAGCAAATTCTTCAGTGTGGGGCCAGATTTCACAGTAGCCCCTACCATAGTCTTCTGGACAAGCATGCTTTCCCTGTGGGCATAGCATCCTTCAGGATATTCCGTAGAAAGCTAACACAAAGAGTTACAGGAACCGCTGCAACATAGAGAGGCAATTGCCTTAGAATAAGCTGTGTATTCCAGCCCTCAGTTGTGCACAGTCCAATAAAATCGGTAAAATCAGCACAGGCAAGGACCTGCCCACATGGACAGCCAACAATCTCTAATATCATACCCACTGATAAGGGGAGGAACATTACAAAATAGATGAAATCAAACAACTGGTGATAAAAATAAGCCTCAGTTTTACTGAGGCAGCATGAGCCAGCTGTAAGATTTGCAGAACCTGCAACACATAAAAAGATTACTGACAAGATATTTTATTTACCTCTGAATCATAGTCTGCAAGGATCCAGGGAAAGACAGGGTACTGCATGAGATCATTATAGGATCTGCCCGCCAGAGTGTTTAAGTGCATCAGGTACTGGAAGTTACTGATTTCTCCTCTCTTAAGGAAGACAGATAACAGCACTGTAAAGCATTCACTTTATAACAATCAAATGTCTATGCTGCCAGACTGCCAAGTTGTTCAGCTCTCCCCAAACATACAAAACTTACTTCAATATTACAATGCTCACTCTACTTTTACTACAGTCCCTCCCCTTGCATTTTCAATGGTAGAACCACTTCCTATTTGATTACGATATCATTAAATGCTACAAACTAAAATGCTGAGATACTCTTTCTGTAATAGTACATTCCACCCGTTTGAGTAAGAGGATGCAACTTATGTGCACTGATTAACTACATATTACTACAAAATGTGGCATTTAATACAAAAACCCCCCAAAATTTTCATACTTACTTCCCATCTTTGAGTAACAGATTTTTCTCCCACTAAAGTGCTAAGCAAGCCAGACCTGATGGGAAGAAGGAAGTGCATTTTCTGACTTAGCATAAGATCTGGGTTACATCTTCACAAGACAATCCAAAGTTTTAAGATTACAACTTGTAAACTGTAACACTTAGAAAAATGGGGCTTTGTTCCTTTTTGCTTTAGCAGTGCCTTTTTTATTTCTAAACACAGACTGTTAAAATTATGCACATTGATTATGCAATTCAGTGCAAGTACAAATGTACCCAACAGTCTGCTGACAAGGAAAATATCTTAACAACTTGGACAAATCTAATGGCTTTGACATTCCAATTCCTTTCGGAACGTATCTGTATACTGACAATATTAATCCTGACAGCATATATTAATTAGTAAGAAGATATACCAATGCTGCCAATGACATCAGTACATTTAAAACAACTGGAGCACAACATCACTAGTTATTTATTTTGGTAATGTCAAATTTTAAATTGAGGTAGCAGTACTCTCTAGTGAATCCTGACCTTAACACAAACATCATTTATTTGAAACTGATAAGCTACAGAGCTCATGAGGAACAGAATCACCTACCCTTGCTCTACGCTGGTGTTTGGTCTTTGCCCAGACACTGACTCCGAACTGTCAGTTAGAGATGGCACCACAGCCAAAAACCTGCATCAGCAGTTAAAAGGAGATTAAGATTAGTGTTTCTGTCCTCGGTATGTCTTCTCCTCAGAAACAGAGTGCATTTAGTACAGCCACAGGCTTCATTTTGAGCAGCTATGTAACATCTTCAACAAAATTGGAATGACTCTTTTCTCACTGAACACATACCACAAGTTTTGCATGCAGGCATTAGCACTTCCTAGAGGACCCTTCATGCAGCACTAAGTTATGATCACGTTACCCACTGCCTAACACCCATCGCTCTTGCAATCTGCTCCTGGTTGTTAGGTTGCTGTAGGCTCAAATATGGCTCAACACAGATATTTGCAAATATTCAGATTAAATGTTCTTACTTATTTTACAATACCTCTGATAAACTTTGTTTCTAATCCCTTTTTGGAAAGCTAGAAGATAGTTCCGTCCATCTCCTGAGAAAACTTCAATTGCAATTGGCTGAAAACAAAGAGAACAAACCCATGTCAATGCTAACACATTCACTCATCACCTCGGAGGGTCAGGCACAGACCAATTTAGTCATACTGTATTGTATCTGACACAAAATTACGGTGAAGCAGACTCTGCTTAGTGCGGCCAGATGTTTTATTTTCACTATGCTAAAATTCATAATACACCCAATAAACTAAACCATGGTAAACATCGTTTCAAAAATGTTCAAACAAGGATGCCCGACTTAAGCACTTCAATTTCAACACAGTGAACAACTTCACTTTCCAAATACTGATCAGTTATGTATTTATTTTACTTTTAAAAAATGACAACACTGTCCAAAAATTCCAAGCTGGCTCCTCAATGCAAATACAGTGTCCAAGTTACCTGCAAAAGGTATCTCCTTTTATGTACTTCTTTGATATCTTCATATGCAAAAATGCTGCATGTTCTTTTGAGCTGACTTGGACCTTGTCGTGCTCCCCTAGGTATGATTGGCTCATGCATCCTGTAAATGACATACAAGAGAGAAGTGATTAAAAAGAGGAGAAATTAAAAGAATTATTCTCTTAATCCATATGAGAGCCCAGTTATAGAAACAGCTGATTTTCAAAATATACTGTACTACATCTTGTTCAGCTATTAACAATCGAGGAAATTCTCTACTAATCTACTCACTTTGGAGGCAGTGTCTCAATATCCCGTATTTCTCTGGTGGCTGTCATGGTAAATCCATCAATGACATAGAAGTGCTCTTTCCCAAAGAGAAGCAGTCCTTCGCTGGTGTCAAGGCCCTGAACCCGAGCACAGCGGTACATATGCTGAATCTGTAATGAAAAGCACACCCTGAGCAAAAGCAGGTTAATGAGCTCAGGCTCAGACCATTGCTTTGTCATAAAAAGCCCTAGACACTGTTTTATCAATTGTAGATACAGAAAAAATTCTGCTATTTTCCCCCTTAATCAGAGATACACCTATCACCTACGATTAGGAATTGGGAATGGAGTTAAATAAAGTCTCCTCAGTATAATACAGATTTATATATTTACCAATTTATCCACTTGCACTGTGCTTCTTGAGCATATTTTAGAACCTGTGGCCCACTTGACTATAATCACAAGTGTATTTACTGGTATACTTCAGACAGACAAAGTCTGAAATACCAAATGTGCAGCTTGGCCAGTCAACACTGTCCTTGTGGATAAAATACTGGTTACCAAGGGTTTTCATTCTAATGAAGGGAAGAATCAATTATAGACAGCCTGCCGAATTCAGTATTTATATTTTCAACATATATTTTCTGTCTGGACTCAATAAGCTGACAGGATAATAAACCAAGTATTGGACAGCTTTCATTTCAGAACAGGTTCTTTTTTTTTCCGTAGCAGGTAAAAGGAAAGAAAAAGAGTGTTTCCAGTACAGTATTTTCAGCTCAGGACCTCTTTGAACCAAAGAACACATTTGGTTTCAAGGAAGAAGCTGATGAAATATTGAGCAAATTCAACTGTAGATCAGGGAAGGTATTTAGGACATTTATTCAGGCTTGACACATGAAATGCAGAAATTCCAACACGGTGAGTGCTTAGTGTGTTTGAAGTACACAGCACCTTCTCTCCTTCTTCAAGAAGTCGAAGTAGAGTTGTATTGTCAGTCTTCTCCTCTTCATCAATCGAACTCCCCTCAACAATCTGATCCTGCGATTGGTCCTGGTTCTCATCATCTCCTCCATCAGGAGCAGAGCGAGATCGTTTCAAGGGAGGCTTCACCAGGCCTGGAAAAAAACATCAGAGATAGATAAATAAAAACTTGACACATAAAAATTCACTTTGCAAAACCTATTGAACTTTGAAATTACTGATCCAATGCTAAGACGAAAAAAAATGCATCCTACAGGATCCTTATACTTAATTCAAATGCATAAGAAAACATAAAGGCAGATAAATTCAAAGAAAACAGTTCAGGACAGAACAAATGATCTAACCTTTGACTCTTGCAATAGTGTCCTCCCCATGTTCTGGCTCCTGCTGAGTTGTTTCACCCACTGTATTCTCTTCTATAGCATCCTGAAAGACCGCAGGGTTTCCAGAAGCCAGGCGCATGTAGTACTCCTTACTGTCGTAACTTATAGCTCTTCGGTAACGAGCAGGTTTCTTAGAAATAATTGAAGAAATTGCTTGGTCAGTCAACTCCTCACCCACTTCAGAAAACGCATTTCAGGAATACTGTGTGCAGCCCAGTGCATGCCCATCAAGTGTTTTAGTGTGCTCATACACCAACACATACAGAAACAGAGACTCTACAGTAGATCTAATCTGTCAGCTAATTTGCAAGGGAGCTATTCAGCCACTCAAGTAAGAATGGGGTTGCAGAAATGCCTGCAGACAGACCTACAAGATAGGAAATACGAAGTGTGGCCACTGCGTTATGAACTGCCACAAAAGGCTGGGATACCGGTGCTTAAGACTTGATAGATCAGATGGGCGTTTTGTCATCTTTCCCAACTCCCTACAAAATATGCAGCTTATTCGTTATCCAGCTGACTTCTTTCCTAGGCAACAGCTTGAATAAAAAATTGCCTCAAGGAAACATACAGATATGTGGAGGTTGATAAGAGCTAAAAGCAGTCAGGGACCAGCTTCAAGGCTCAGAAATTCTTAAAAAACTCAGTCATTTCTTTTTTAGTAAGGATTCTGATGGTTTGTGGGCAGCAGACTGGCACAAGAGCATCATTTAACTAAAGTAATTTTTCAAGCACTGTTCATACCTCTGGGTGACAACAATGGATTATAATACATTTCATTGCGGTGGTGGTGTGGGGCTTTTGTTTGTTTGGTTGAAGGTTTTTTTGGCTGGGTTAGGGTGGTTTTTTTGTTTGTTTGTTTTCTCCTTTGTCTGCCCCATTCCCCGCCACAAGCTAATTCTTAAGTTCCTCACTTGATTATGGAGGTAACATTTGAAATAGAAGTGAGAACTGAATGAGGACAATAAATATGTCAGAATTATCACAGGAGATGCAGGTGAAGATTAAAAGAGGTATTAAAAGAGCCAGGAGCCTTTCCAAAATTAAAAAAACACTGATGCACATGGATGGAGGAAAACCCATTGATTTTATACTGCAGCTGAAAATTTTCTTCTCTAACTACTGTTTAATCCCACTCTCAAACTCTAGAAACATTTGTGAACATATTCAGGTCTCCATCACAATTTTTTTTTGTTTTGTAGCATTATTTCTCATTAATTTCATTTCATATTTCCCATTAATTAGGTTGTGATAATTACTAAATATTATTATTATAAATCCAGTTAAATGTTTTACATTATATGAATAATGTAGAATATCACTGTCATTTCAGTCAAGATTTTTGTCAAAAAATTATCTCAAGTCACTTGCAGTAATAACTGGAAATACATATATGACTTTATTTTTGGGGGTTTTTTTTTTGTTCATCTGTATGATGGTATAGTGGGAAACCAAGTGACCCATAAAATCAAACTAGCTCTATTACAAGTGGATGCTCAGGATGACTAAGAGATTATTTAAGGTCAATTTGGCTGCCCCCAAAATAAAAAAAAATTAAGGCACTGCGATCTAATTTGATCATTTATGTTCAACTAATTCTTCACTCCTTATCAGCACAGAAATGACACTTAAATAATGCTTAAACCTCTGTGGAAACAGCTTACGTATAGCCTAAGAACAGAAATCCTAACTAGCACTGCTAAGATGGAGAAAGGAAAACAGTAACAATTTATATTAAGACATTTTGTATAATAGAATTACTTACATTTATATGTATTAGTTTATTGTTGAATGTAATTCAAAGTGAGTGAACGCACACATTGTACTTAGTGATGGGCAAGACTGCAAATGTAATTGACAGAGGAGCAGCATAACACTGAAATGCTCGCAGAGCAGCTGCTTCCAAGTCTGTTATTTTCAAGGCAGGATTCATATTTTTTTTTAACAAACGTGTATATTTCATTAATAGTAAAAACGAGGAGAAGAGTCAGCTAAAACAAAATTAATCTGGGCTCTAACAAAAGTAGGCCTGTTACAGCCCATTATGGCCAAAAAGGAGAAAAACTGCCCAGCAGATGCTCTCTCAAAAAGAAACACTTACTTTCCCAGTAAGTGCTTCCAAGTGATCATGTTGCCCATTACTAAACATTTTCCACTGACCATTAGTTCAGATTCCAAAGCCACAACACTTCACACAGTGAGAACAGTGATAGCACAGCCCAACAGAGCCTGTTAGTGTACAGCAAAGAAGGTCAGATCTACAGAAAGTTTTATTAGGTGCAGTTTGAGGAGAGCACAGTAACATCTTCTAACATGATTACTGAAAAAACCTTTAGGCCTGGAAATATTTACTGAAAGAGCAAGTTGAAAGCCAAACGTAGAAGCATTGTTAAGATTGCCTAACATGCAGGAGGAAAAAAAGTTGTATTTATTTTACATTCTTTCAGTCAGTGTACTTGTTTCTTTACCTTTTGAGGAATGGTATCATCAGATGTCTCAGGAAGCCTACTTGAGACCTCAGACTGAAAACAGGGCATCAATTATATAAGCATCAGAGAAAGAACACTTTTGAGAAGAACATATGATGGCATGTTCTCCGCTTCGTGTGAATTAGACTGTCACTACAGCTATTGTGTGTCAGAATGCAAGCAGACAAGTATACCTAATGGTTTAAAAATGGTTGAATGCTATTTTTTGTTTGCTTTTTCCAAGTACTTTGACACTCATGCTTAATTTGAGGGAAAAAATCCTGCATGAGTACACGCATGCCTAAAAAGCCACAATAAAGACTGCTCCATTTCTTAAAAACGGTGATCCAAAATTAACAGGAACTAACTGCCAAGCTTTCAAAGGCATTTCTGTCACACAGCCCACGCTCATATCCACAGATGGATGAAAGTACATTTCACAAACACACCCAAACCAAGGTCCGTAGGCGGTTTCATTTTTTCTTTTCTTTTTTTTCAGATCACCATTTACGATGTTATCTAGCATAAGGTTGAGAACTCAGCCTGAAACCTCCCATATTTATGGTACTTCTCAGCCTCTAGAGGCTTGAGAAGATGCCTCTGCTGTTCACTGGCATGATCACTTAGCAACCGCATCTTAGGTTGCAATTGCTAGTCTTTGAGTTCACTTAGTTTTGAGCTGAGTGATTCAGTCCCTTCCCTAAATACACTATGAGGAACAACTGGATCTTACCAACCATTTAAGACATACAGACAGAATACCAGGTAATACCAACAGAGTAGAACATGTTTCTTAAGAAAAATTTCTAAAAAAATGTGGATTTCACAACAGGACATAAAATTATTCATCACAAAGTCTTCAATACTTACCAGCAAGTTTGTTTCTTGCTCAGCTTCAGGCATGTAGGGATATTGAATATAAAACATGTCATTTCGCACCATCTTCTTCCTCATTCTGCAGGGACCCTCAGTCATCTCCAACATCCACTTGTCAAGATGGGAGCCAATGGGGGGACCCCATAAACCTCGCTCTCGTAGTAACTCATACTCAATTTGAGACCACTCTTCTGTCACATATTTTAATGCATTCTGCTGACGCTGAATACAAAGACATATTTATAAGCATCAGAAGTGGTGCTTTTAAGCTCATCTCTGACATAAGTAGAGACATTTTCACTACATTACAGAAAAATGTGTAATAATTCCTAAGTCTAGTAGTATTTTCTAGTATGCATAATGAGATTTCCGGTGTTGGTTACCCTAAAAGTAGAGTTCATATTGTAATCTCCTCAAGAGAAAAGGAAAAAAAGGTAAGAGCTCTGCTTTTGGTTTGTATTGTTAATTGAATGCATTTTTAAAAGGCAAATATGAAAGAAAGCTAATACTAATCCATGGATTTTGAAAAAGGATTTTAAGAATGAAAACAAAAATTGTTTTGGAGGCCTTCCCTGCTTGTATTTACACTGGAGAGAGCAGTTAAATGAAGCAAAGTTGGTGATTGTTTTTTTTAACTAATTGCTTTCAGTGACTTGCTTCTCTCAGAAGCTGATTGCAGCTCAGTAACTCATTTGAACCAAAGGTCTCTGGGGATGCTTGGAAGAACAGGGTGCAATGATTTCATTCTGGAAGGCACATAGCAGTTACTTTCTATTGCTGCATGATTTGGGAAAGGTACCATAAAATTTTCTTGTGTTACTATAAAAGTAGTGTTTGTATACAATGCTTCTCCACATGTCCTCTTAAGTTTCTGAGCAATGTTTTAGAAAGTGCATATTCTAGCATATTTTCAATCTCTCTCTTTTTTTCCCTTTTTTTTTTTTTTTTTTTTTTTACACTTCTAAGGAAAGATTACTTAAGCTTCTTGGAAAAACAAAAAAAGTTAAGATTTAACTCATGTAATATTGCTACTAGAGTTTTCATCTACAATCAGATCAAAATGAGTTTATTTGATTGCATTTTAAAACCCCTTTAAAATAACAACTGTATCTAAACATTAAGGCATTTCACCAACGACCACCTAGTATTTTACAAGCCCCCTACTGAGAAATGTGATTGGTATGACCTAACAGGCCAAAATATCAGTGTCAGGTAATTAATCCTCTGAACCATACCTCCTGATATTCCTTATACTGCATATCAACCAGATCCCGAACGACTGCAATGTGAGTAAACATCCACTGGCAAATTTCCTAATACAAAGGTAAGAAGACAGAACAACATTTTATAAAAGCTGGTTTTGTTTAAATGAAAACGTATGAATATATCACTTTGCTAAACTTGCTTATAAAGGATAGCTTCTTAAAAAAAAAAATACTTAGATGATGAACTTCAAAGTACTGCATACAACAATATTTAAGGTTTGTTTCGTTTGGTGTTTCCTTTTTTTTTAAGAAAAAAGGCAGCAAATTCATGTATAGGAATATCCTTTAAAAGAAACTAGCAAACATTTGGAAAATATTCCAAACACATGACAAAACATTCCTAAACAGTCAAAGATCAGCGCTGACACATATTACTACTATTTCCTATTTCCTTTTAAGTAAGTTTGTTGGAAATCCTCAAGACACCCAACACTCCTCTGTGTTTCAATACATCTGTTTTCACTTACTGCTCCCTCTACTGACACAGCCAGCAACAGCTCCTGTCAGCTCAGTTTGTGAGATTCTTCCTTTTTATTTTAATGTATATGCCTGCTCACCAGGAAAAGGATTTAGAGCACTGAGAGTTCTTTATTTTATCAAAGCCACTAAATAATTTTCAGATCAGTAAGAGAACTGGCAATGTATTTTTTTTTTAAATGGGACACAAATAACTCCTGATTAAGTCAACAGGAATTCCCTGTGGCAGGAATACACCTACAAGGTACTGTCCTGATGAGAGCACCACTGCTGTGCTACTCTGATCTAACTTTTTATTTTTTTTTAAAGCAAGCAGGTTTGTAAAGCAAACGTCCAGTTCTACCATCACATATTGTTTTGCTTAACTCTCCTCTGTAGTACAATAAAAACAGTGCAAAGCAGCATTTGTTTATTCATGACACATACACATTTATATAAGGATTTTCCTAAACCCACAATCTTGGGGGCAGGATGGAAAAAAGGACAAGCATCTATGGCACAGCTACCATTTCCAAGTAGTATAGAAAACTAAATTTAAGAGCATTATTATTATTATTATTATTATGAGCATAACTTTATGAACAATAAAGCATATATGTAACCAGAAGCAGCTGAGCAGTCTCACCAACAACAGTGTTTAACTCCTGGCTTAATGTCACAGATACACAGATACACCGACTGGATTAGGACATGCAGAAGCAAGATGCCCAGTCTGGATACTTAAAAAGGGGAAAACCCAGCACCACATATCACTTCACACTCTGCAGGATTCCTTACATTGGAATATTTACCACAAACCCTGAACATACATTGCTAGATTTTAGATTGTGTGTTATTAATTGACAGAAATTACCTGTGTAGAAAGGTTGTGTTTATTGAGACCACTCTCCTTACGGTTTCTCCTGGAACCGGTTAGTTTAGAGAGGCCGAACCCACTGCTAACTCGTGAAAGCTTGGACTGTGTGGTTGGAACCAAAGCTTCCCCTCTACTAATGCATTTCTTTTCATGAGCTGAAAAACAAAGAGAAAGTGTTTGAAGCAGTTTTTAGGTGGCTTTTTTCCCTCCTCCACCCAGTTGGTTTTTTTTTTTTTTTTAAACAGAATAACCTTTGCTGCTGCTTTAAAAAGGTGGGTGTTATGGGGATTAGGGGATTTTATGTGTGTGTCTGTCTGTCTGTTTGGGGTTTTTAGTTGTTATTTGTTTTAAGAGTGTCCAGTAGTACTCACATTCATGACTTGTATGAGGAAATATTCCCTGGTGAAATCAAAGAATTGCTTGTTTTATGAAATGAACCATAAAAGATTTGGTACTCTGTTTATTGATTATCAAAACCATGGCGCATGACCTATGAATTCTGTCCTCATCTGAAGAGGTGAAAAATAGCTATGTATAAACAAAATAATTACCTAGCCTCTCTCTATCCCGCCAACTTTAATTTTGCTGATTTACATCCCTTAAAGAACAAGTGGACATTCCAAACAAGGGACACAGTGTCTGGAGAACTATTTTTTTCCTCAAAACAGTTTATATTATAAACAATAGATACCAGTGAAAAAAAATGCAGCTGAGCACTGCATCTCTACCAAAAAAGGAGCTACAACATGACCCCACTAACCAATCTGGCAGCAAAAGTACACTGTATTGAGTGGAGAAGCTAGGTGGGCCTGCTGCATCTTTTTGTGCACATACAGCCATCCCGGCTGATAGTCAAGACCACAAGACTGGTGTGCTTACTTTAAAGTCACAGCTTAATTCAACTCTCTTAAGAGTTTAACGTTCTCCTGATATTCAGCTAATGGATCACACTGTATATCAGTTGCCTTTGATTTAGAAAGTACATGCTCACGTCCCTCACTTCCTTTAATTCACTCTACCTCTGAGCTTTCTTTTTCTTCTTTTAAAACCACTCCTACTTTCTTATAGTAATAATTTCTCCAAAGATCCTTCACTCTACTCATAACACTACTGCAAATATACTGGCTACCAGTGAGATACTGGAAACTTGAGCAAACATCAGCCACAGACAAAGCACATTTAGAAATACAGAGACTGCAAAAACAAGTATTCTAAGCTCCCAAAAATGCTTTCTGTACATCCGGTTTAACCTCAGTTACTTTAGAGTCATGTAACCATCAAAGGAGTCATGTCTATGGAATTTTATTGTCTGCTATCTAAACACTTGTTAATTCAGTCCAGTAACAGTTGGCCTTCTTTATTGCATGAGCGCAGAGTTAACTTGTGCTTAACTTGTTGGCCACCAGGATTCCCAGGTCATTTTCCTGCAAAGCTGCTTCCTATGCTGAGCAGATCTCCCAGCGAAGGAGACGTTACAGTGTCACTGCCCCAGAGAAGGACTGCTCGGTCACACATTTCCAATCGTATCACCAGACCAGGAGTCTGCAGGCTGCACCCAGTCATGCTCAAGAGGGGTTCCCCTCCCTGCCTGGCACATCCAGGTCACAGGTCACCCCAATCCAACTCTTCATGGGCAGAAGAGTTGGACTCTTCTGCCAGTCTAAATGACTCCATCACTGTAATCCACAGAATGCTATTGGTACATGCTGACTCACACACACAGTACGTTGTTGAGACCACCAATGCTGTTGAACAAAGGCCCTGTGTGTGGTGGAATGTAAGTATATCCTATACATGGTACAGTTTCTGAATGAGATGGTAAATGGTGACAGTTCAGAGTACTGAACTGGAGCTCCTCTCCTATGAGGACAGGCTGAGAGAGTTGGGGCTGTTCAGCCTGGAGAAGAGAAGGCTCCAGGGAAACCTTATAGCTGCCTTCCAGTACCTGAAGGGACCTACAGGAAGGCTGAGGAGGGACTTTTTCAAGGGCAGGTAGTGATAGAGCAAGGGGTAATGGCTTCAAACTGGAAGAGGGTAGGTTTAGATTAGATATTAGAAAGAAATTCCTTACTGTGAGGGTGGTCAGACACTGGCACAGGTTGCCCAGAGAAGTTGTGGATGCCCCCTCCCTGGAAGTGTTTAAGGCCAGGCTGGATGAGGCTTTGAGCAACCTGGTCTAGTGGAAGGTGTCCCTGCTGATGGCAGGGGGGTTGGAACCAGATGATCTTTAAGGTCCCTTCCGACCCAAACCATTCTATGGTTCTATGATTCTACTTAGCACTACACAAAAGCTAAGGCCATATTAAAACATTCAGTGCATATGGTTGACTTCAGGGAAATTCTACCATTCTGGACAGAGAAATCCCCAGTTACACTTACCCAAATGATTTTGCCAGCACTTTAAACTTGCTTCCTCAATAAAAGGTCTTGCAACAGTTATATCCACTTGGCCACGGTCATTGACAGGTAGTGTCACTTTGAAAACTTCTTCTAAAACCTGTTTTTTACTATGGATCAGCTCTGTCCACACTCTGTTTATGGCTTTTAAAAGAAGCTGGCGACCTGCATAGGTACACAATCACAAACAGCAAGGTCTCTATGGTGCTTACAGAACTGGTATTTTTACAGTAGCAAACCGAGTAATTTCTGCGATTATACTCTAGTTTTTTGCCCTCTTGCACGATTTGTGAAATGCCTTTGGCCAGACTGTTTTTCCATTAATATGCTATCAGAAAGTATCTAATAGTTAATTTTGTCAATTTTTCCTCTGTGAATGTGAAACACCAGCTCTGATGAGTTGTGATTCTTCTCCCACATCCATCTATTAACAGAATGAGATTTAAAATAATCTTATAGGAGTACATGTCTATAAACACATATATAATTCCATACATACAATATGCCTTAATATTTTTACATGTAACTGTGTACATTAAGTACAAACCTGCATAAATATTAAATATATACATGCAAGGAAAAAAAAAATCATCACTGAATCCTTTCTTCCGCAGCTGCCTTCACTGCAGATTACCTTCGCTGACGTCTTGATTGTAGACTCCATCTGGTTCTATATCAGAGGGGATCATAATGTGCCAAGTTGTCATCCTGGCTTCTGCTTCCAATCCAAACCCATCAACATTGCTACAAATACACAATGAATTAACAACAATCAGAAAAAGAAAAAAAAATCCAAGCTAAAGCCTTTGATTCCTTGTGGCAGTATCACAAAGATTAATACATGTTACTACTGCAATGTATCTTCACTTCCATCCACTTCAGCCCTGATAATCTGTGGTCACAAGCTGAACGGAAAGTTTATGAAAAATGACACACCATGGACACTACAGGAAGATGGTAATATTTGAAGAAACACAAAACAGACAAGGTCAGAAATGGGAAACATCAGGATTTCTGCTGATTATGCTTCCCAAGTGTCTTTGGATAAAACACAAGTTGTACATCTTTTTGGAAAGAAAAAATGAAAATGCCAGGCAGGCATTTGCAGCAACGCAGAGAAGTGGGTGTCTACAGCATTTGTCATGGGCATCCGACTTAATGCCTGACTGGACTTATTCAATGCTACACATCCCAGTACTAAGATTTGGAATTTATATGAAATGATTCAATAGACAATAAATCTAGTGCCAAACCTCTTTGACTATTAATTACTTAGCACCAGTGTTTCTTTCTACCTTGAAAACATTTCAGATTTTCAAAGCATAACAACAAAATGGTTAGATAAGCACTTGTGTCAGTATTTTAAAATACCTCTGTAAAAGGAGGTAAGAATGTTCTCTGTACCTGGGCTCTTCAAACCTAATTTTCTTTTGTCCTGGTTTTCAGCTGGGACAGAGCTGGTTCTCTTCTTAGTAGCCAGAACAGCGCAGTGTTTTGGTTTCAGTATGGGATTTGTTATGAGGTCAATGATGATAACATACTAATGTTTTCAACTGCTGCTGGAAGTCGAAGGACTTTATGTTTTGCTAGTCTGCAGGTGCAAAGGTCTAAGGGGGCCATGGAATATTAAAATTAGTAATCCAAATTGGCATTTGGATATGCCAATGGGATATTCCATATCATATAACATCATGTGCAGCATATTAATGAGGGTCACTCTCTCTGGGGGCTCTCACTTGAGCTCTCACTCTTCCGGGATTGCAGTTGTGGTTTTAGGGATTGTCGCTGCTCCACAATTGTTATCTGAGAATGGGTCGGGCTTGGTTGGCAGGTGGTGAGCAATTGTACTGTGTATCACTCATTTGTATATTTAATTATTACTATTATCTTTGTTTTTTTATTGTTATTTTTACCATTATTATTGGCATTACTATTTTAAGTTTTATTTTATTTCAATTATTAAACTGTTCTTATTTCAATCTACGAGTCTCCTTACCCCTCCAACTCTCTCCCCTATTCCCTGGTGGGGGGAGAGTGAGCAAGTGGCTGGTCAGTGTTTGGCTGCTAGCCAAGTAAAACCACTGCATGTTTCAAAATGAATCACTTAAGCTTGCTTGCATTTCACTGGCTGGAAATTTATAAACAGTTATCCGTAATTCTCTGACTTGTTTGCAAAGTGAGTGTGATTGCTGAGAGAAAAGAGGTGATTTTAATACTTCACAACCCTGGTTCTGGAATGAACTTCTGAGATATTTACCTTCCCACATGCAGATTTATCAAGCAGTGAGCTAGGCAACTGATGAACTCTTGATCGTGATTTCCAGGTCCCAAAATTAAGTTTCTGTTCACAGTAAGGACCCTTAGGGAATCAAGGAGAGCCACTTGCTGAGGAACAGTTTTGTGCGCCCTTGAGAACTGATACAAGATGGTCCTGTTCAGGCAGTGATAAATAGCATCCAGTGATAGTCCCTGAGATCTTCTTTTTGACTGTTGTGAAATAAAAATACATTATCAGATAGTAGTAGAAAATAAATTTGCTAGCAGATAATCTTCCCCTGAATTGACCCAAGCTCATTTTTCAAAATCAGTATTTTACTAAATTGTCAATTCTATGAATTTCAAGGACTGAAATGACATTAATACACGATGATACACTTATAATTTTAATATCTAGAAAGACACTG